AACAATCAAAAGGACTTTTAATTAAGGAATGGAATTGATTCTTCCTTTTCAAATGTTATGCTCATGCAACTATTCTAGTTTCCCAAAGCCACACAAAGGTTATCTTCAATAATATCTATAGATTCTTCACCTATATACCCAAACTCTTGTCAGTAAATGCTTATGGCAGCTTGAGTCGGTGATTCTAAGGACTTTGTGTTCCTCAACATGGATGTTAATATTAGGCTATACACATGATCAAGTGAAGAGTTCCCTGAGGAACGCGCTCTCATTTACACTTCACGTTCCAATGCTTCAAGAACTTGTTCTGCTCGTTTCAGGATGAACCACCACAAGGTGGTTTTCACACTCCAAGATTACTTGTCCGAGAAAAATCCAGTCAGAGTAGATATGGAGTTCACTGTTGAAAGAGATGACGGCAATAATGATGTTTTCAAGTTTGGTTCTGTTAAACGTCATTTTAGCGGGAGTTTCTCAGAGAATAGAAACGAGCACCATCATTTGCTTTTGAGGTATCAGGACATATCTGACACCCCAGGAGCTATATTTCGTGCGTATAGATCATCAGAAAGTATATTTAGGAAGCTCTCGAACAGGGAGGAATGGACAATATGTCATTTTCCTGGTATACTACTTCCATGGTATCAATTGAGGATTGTACGTGATCCCCAGAATAATGGTCCTAAAATGAACCTTTTCATACTCCTTTTTAGTTCCATTCAGAAGGTAACAGGTAAGCCGCCTCCAAATATTTCTAACAAAGCTGCAAATGGTATAGTAATTTCACATGATAACAAGCAAGGTGAGGTATCAGCAGGTAGGCCTTCAAATATTTCAAACAAAGAATTTGAGAAAGGTATAGTGCTTGGAAAGGGGAGCAATCGCCCGGAAATGGAGGAGAAGACAAATGAGAAAAGAGCAGCGGAAAGACAGCCCATCAGTGCTCTAATTCTCGCGCCACAAACTAATACTTTATGGAATGAAGGACGAATTGAAGGTCATTTCAATAACTCCAATATCAATATTAGTGACTGTCAAATTATCGCAATCAAGGAGTTTACGGTTCGGTTGAAAAGCTTTACAGTTTAGGTGTTTTTATTTTAAATGATGTAATTCTAGGAATTGCCTTCTAGTGCATCTAGCTCCTGCTCTTCTATATTTCTTTATTATAGCAGAAACCGCAGGTCTGATCAACATGTCACAATTTTTAAAATAATAGATATATGTTGTACCCTTAAAAATATGAATTTTAGTTTTGTTGATTAATTTCCAAATTTCCACACATAATAGTTTATGATCTGAAGGAGTTTCCTAATATTCGGGAGATACTACGAAGAACACAAACAATGGCTTGAATTCTAAGCTGTTCAGTTATTTCCAAAATCCATGTTTTGTGCTAGTAGTCAGTACTAGTGATGAGGTTAATTACTTTCCGTTTGCAATGCTTCTTTTGACTAGTTCACGGTAGATTATTAATTAGTTTATAAGAAGCCAGGACAAAATAATGGTCTGTTTGTATATAGAGAAAATATGGGAGGAATTAAAATATGGAAGGAAAATAGGAGAGAAAATGACTTTTCCTCTGTTAGAAGAAATAAAAATGACCCTCCTCTCTCTCCCTCTTATAGATTTTCAAACCCATGCATGCATCGGCATCGATCGTCTTCCACTCCAGGTGTTCTTCTTCACTGCTCATTAATTCCTTGACAAGGTTAGGTCACTTGTAACCATGAAATAATATGGCTGAGAAAATATTCAAAACAATGTGAGCGCATCGCTGCGGTGTAAAACCCATTTGCGTACCTTCAAATCATTAAACTCCACCCATGTTTATAGAACCAGCAAAAGAAGAACAAAATGAGAAAGAAAAAGAAAAAGCGCATAACTAAAAAGACAAAAAAGGGTTAATTACTGGGTTTTGAGATGCTTTAGCGACTAATTTGATTCAAAATTATTTGGTTTTAAAATATAATAATATGAAAATCCATTTTTAATAACTAATTGATAATTACTTGAAATATGATATATTTTGATATAAGGGTGTCATAGTTATTATGATATTTTCTCATTTTCTTTCTTCTTTATTTTCTTCTATCCATTCAAATAAAATGAGTGATAACATTTTTTTTTTCAAGTTTTCTCTTCTTTCCACTTTCTCTCCTTTCATTTTCCTTCCTCTCTACTTTTCTTCTTACCCAAACGGAGAGTAAATCTTCTAACAGTTGTATTGTATTATTATTGTAAATTTTTTGAAACAATGATAGTTAGATCCCAAAATATTGAATTAATGATAGTTAAGTCTGTGACTTCTTTTTTTCAATTGCAAATAAGTATTTAAATATCATATATAACTCTTGAATTGTAGCAGGAATTTTTATTTGTAACTGTTTGAATTGATTTTTATAATTGTTTTTTTAGAAAATTTTTGTTGGGGACCTAACTATTATTTCAATCTTTTGAGACCTAATTGTTATTTTTTCAACTTTTTTTCCGGTATGCACAAGAAGTATACTCTAATGATAGTAAAGATTATCTTTCATTACGTAATGAAGATAGAAGATAGACCTCCCAACAATTTTGCTACATATACAAGAGTAAGGGATAATGAAACTTGTAGTCCTTCAAGTTTATCTCATTCATCAATTCAGTCCGTTAAGTTTAAGTTTTGTCAATTTAATTCTTTATATTTTCTTAAATTATCATATAAGTCCTTTATGTTTCAAAACACTAATTGACTCTCAAAATAGTCTAATGTGTAAAGAGTATTGATGATTTGGCATGTATGTATTGCTAAATGAGAATAAATTAGGTCTCAAATGAGTTTAATTTTTATCAATATAATCTCTTATTATGTGTTTTGTTCTCTTGTTTTTTTAAAATTTTAGAGTCTATTTTTTTTTCCTTTACCTTAACAATTATACCTCTTTTATTAATTTATATAGTTGCTATCAATATATATTCTATTATCTAAGTTAGCAAAGTTTAACCATGCAATCTCTTTTATAAACAATAAAGATTAAATAGGTAATCGAAGTTAAGTTAAAGAACTTAATTGATAAAAATTAAACTTGTAAGGTCAAATTAATAATTGAGACAAACTTAAAAAATTAAAAGTTGTATTATTGTAAGAGTGAAGTTTCGAACACTTAACAACTTGCTTAATTGACAAAAATTCCCCAGCTTAAAGTCAACTATTATTGCAATTTTGGTACGTGCTTTTGATTATAACAGAGAACCCCAAAGTCAAAACCCCCCAACAACTCCACAGAAAATTGGAAAAAAGAAATATAATTTTTTAAAACAAAATTGTTTTGTAATCCTTTCTATAAAATTTCCAAGGGAAGGCACAGAAACAAAAATCAAAATTCTAGATCTTTTGTAAAACTGAATAATATATGTGTGTATGCATATGCTTGTGTGTGCATGTATGATGCTTGTATAATATATAGTATTATACTACCTAAAATCAAAATCAGAAGTTAACCAATTTCCCTTCCTTCACTAAGTACACGTATTTTCGAATATTTGCACGACAATGAAATGTGCTTTTAATTAATGGGGATCAAATTCTTCCTTTGCAAATAGTCAAAAAGTTATTCTCAGTCATTTATATTAGAAGTCAAAATTTCCTTGCTTTTTTAATTTTTGGGCCAGAGAAGCGGAAATTTGGATACGCACTTGCAAAGGAAGAATTTGATCCCCATTAATTATTTAAATAAAATTTTATATGATATTATATTAATTTATTTTATTTTTATAATAAAATGTATAATTAATTTATTATATTTTCTCCCTGCTATCATTAATATCATAATCAATTTATATTTAATATCATACGAATATCATATTTTTATTGAATAGATTATACATAACACAACGTACTCAGTCTATGTCATAATTTCTTCAAAAAGTCTACAAGGAAATTTCATTCTGTTATTATCTCTATTATTTTTTTAAGCCCAAAAAGCAAATACTCAAAGACCAACAACTACTAAAACTAAATATTAACAATTAATTAAATAGGATATTATGCTTTCTATGACAAACATGCATGACAAAATGTCGTTCCATTACTATCTCTATTATTTTTTTATTCTCTTAAAATTTTAATCACCAATTAATATATAGGACCACGTTAGGTCCCAGCCTTTTTCCAGAGCCATCTTGAGTGCCCATCAGGGTGATGCAATCTAGACCATCCAGATTTTTAATCTGAATGGTCCAGATTTAAAGAATTAATTTAATATTTTTATTTATATTTTTTAAAATAAAAATTTATAAAAATTATAAAAAATTTAATAAATATTTTCAAGACTAATCTAGTCTATATTTAATTTGGAGAGTCAATTTTATATTACATTTTTTATATTTTTTATATATTGACAATCTAGATGTATTATGTACAGTTTACATTTAAATTTTTTAACTCATATTTTTTAAAAAATTATAGTTAAATATTATATATTTTATTTTTTAATATTTATCTATCAAAATAAAAAATTTAAATCTAAACCTTACAGATAAAAATTTAATATTGAATATGGACTGTTTAGAGTACATGTACATAATCAATTTAAAAAAATTATAATGTTAAATCATACCATCCAAATTATATCAGTATTATCCAAATTGATAATGAACATATTTATTCAAAAAATATAAGCCACAATATATATATATATATATATATATATAAATGTACCTTTAGCCTTCCAATTTTTATAAGATTTTAGTAGGAATACTTAATTTTATATAATATCTTTTTAGTCATCTAACTCTTACACTATTAATCTCAAACAATTATTTTCTATACCAATCATTATTATTTAAAAAAATTAAACTTAATATGTCAACATTTGAAAATATTTTATTAACATTTAAAATTTCAATATGGACATTGTTTATGATCCAACAATCCTCCGGAATCTCTATCTCTAATGCTATAAAGACCTGTTCGGTGTAATTGTTCAGTCGGTTGATCAGGAGGTGAAGACAAGAATATGGGCAACTCTTCCTCACTGAGCCGTGGGGTTAAGACAAATCTATACCAATGGTCAAGTGAAAAATTCCGTGAGGAGTACGCTCTCATCTACACTACGAGCGGGCCTTTAGTCCCAACAAAATCTTGTGCTATTTATTACAGAGTGAACCCAGACAAGTTGATTCTCACCATCGATGATCGCTTACCATTACTTTCTAATGGCCTCAGAGTAAATATGGAGTTCGAAGCTGTTAGAGATTGCTATGGGTTTTTTCATTTTGGTGCTATAAAATTTAAAGATCAAGGTGATAGTTTCGAAGATTGCTATGGGTTTTTTCATTTTGGTGCTATAAAATTTAAAGATCAAGGTGATAGTTTCGAAGAGCGGAGCATTGGAACAAGCATATCCAAGCAGGTATTGATTTTGAAGTATCATGAATCTCCGGTGAGCAGATTTGATCGGATAGACTTGTATAGATTGAAAAAAGACAGAAAAGTAACATATGAGCTTGTTTTCGTTACATATGATCAATCAGGTGACTATTTTATTCATGTTTTAAGCATTCACTGTGATCCTTGGGAAGGCATTCATGTGAACCTTTCAGGTCCGTATAGTGTTTACTCAGGAAAGAAGGCACTATGGGACACAGATTATATATCAGGTATGCCTCCGGATGATGTTATACAAACTGCAGAAAAAATTCGGAAAGACTTAAAGCCAGAAGTTTTGGAATCCAAGGGAACAGACAGTGTTGTTGAGGCTCCTGGAGTCCCACTACCAAAAAATCTTATGGTGAATAAAGGATCAATTAGAGGCGATAACAATTGCAATATCAACATTTATTATTACGCCGGTCGGCATTAGAAGAACAGTTCACAACGTTAGATGTTAGATTTTCCCGGTGACTTTCTCACTAAATACCAAAATATGTACTGTGTTTGAGTGTCTGGTCGTTATTTACTCCTTTTCATTGCTATTATATGTGTGTGGCTTTGGCTTGTATCATTTACTACAACAAACGCAGGTGATCATTGAAAGAAAATCCCTCGCAAATTAAGAATAAATCCGTTACGTATGATTTTACGACTGATTATATATATTCTATCATAGATAAAGGCATCACAATTAAAGTAATGACAATCGCCAAAAAAAAAATCCATTACAAACAAATTCGTCGCATAATTTCAGGGCATTTATTGTTATATTCACACCGTTGACTTTTGATAAATGCGTCAAATTAACGTTTTCCTATTTCCTCCTCATGCTTCTGTATAAAGTTTGAATGGAATTTGTTCCTTGCTAAAATCATTCCAAGCTCGATGTTACAAGCATAAGTCTAAAGAGACTCATATTTTCTGAGGCTTATTGACATGGTACTTATAACAATAGACCCCCGTTCAAGGGCCAATGTCCTTTGGTGGCTCCACACCACAAAACTTAATTTGATCTCTCCTACCGGTCAAAAACTTTCATGGGTAACCCTTTTCATGATTTTGACTTCTCAATAAAAGTACTAATGTTAAAAACTAAAGTCTAAAGGGACAACTTTTAGCCCAAAAGACGGGTTTTTTAGGTGGAAGGCCCTTTAAACTTATATTGTTCATTTACTAATATACTTCCACTACTACAAAATTATGGATATATGATACCATTAAAAATAATGATTTTAAGAAAATTCGTCATTTAAAAGAGAGGTGGGTGATGGTTGCAAAATAAATGATGGGTGTTTTAAACACCCGTCATTTATTTCATTAACATATATGATGGGTGTTTTAACACCCGCCATGTAAGGCTTTGAATTCTACCTCTAAAAAAATAAAAATTAATATCAACATGAATGACAGTCTTTTTAAAAACCCATCATTTATATTGATAACATTATATGATGGGTGTTTTAACACTGGTCATATAGTGTTAAGTTTCTAAAATTTAAAAAAAGAAAAAGAAAAAAATGAGACTTTATATGACGGGCTTTTAAAATGCCCATCATATAAAGTGGAACAAATGACAGGCATTTAAATGCCTGTCATTTATTCTTGTTTAAAAACTTTTTAGTTCCTTCCATTTCATATTCTCTCTTGCGTGCCCGATGAACTCTCCTCTCTTCTTTTCTCCACTTTCACACGAAATCACAAGTAAACCTACAAAGTGACTTCATTTCCATAGCCAACTATCACCCCCCACCTCCATCGTGTTTCCGCCATCCTCCTTACTGTCTTCATTGTACCCTGAATTTGCCATTGCATTTCGACCCATTTTCTTCCAAGGTGCATTTTTTTCGTGTTTTCTACCATTTCTTTTAATGTCCTTTGGCTTTTTTTGCTGTGGGAATGATTTATTCATTGTTTTGTAGATTTTTATTGTTTGAATTTACGTAGTTAACTTTCTGTGCATATTGTTGCTTGAATTTGGTAATGTGGGTGGTAGAAATTGATAATATACGATGTGTTCTTGGCTTGAGGATGCTAATGGAGGTCATGGATAGCCTCAGAATAATTATGAGGATGAAAATGAGTGATCAAAATGTATATTCATGATGATTGTATTTTTTTTCGCATTTTGAATGAATTTTTGGAATATTTTTTTTAAAATTATATGCCTTATTTGATTTGGATAGTTTATCATTAGAAACTACATATTGAAATGTACTAATGTACTAAATTTCATTACAATTGGAGTTGATTTGAGTGACCAAAATTGACACACAATTTTTCTAAAAATTATAACTATTTTGTTGAGATTTTGACAATTGCTATAATGAATGATATTATATTGGCATGAGATTATTACTTAAGGTATGAGTAACATTAGAATGATAAATGAGACAAAAAACAATAATGGAATTGATGTTTATGGTATTTTTCTTTGTTTCTGTGATTTTTCAATGATTTTTTTTTTTTGGAATTGTGTATGATTGAAAATGTCATTTTGTTGGATTTTGTTGTTGTTGAGATTGTGTATGATTAAATTTGGCTTATTGATATAAGATGTTAGGTTTAAAAAGTGAGTTTGAGCATGGGAAATACTTGTTTTTATGACATTATACTGCCAAATTTTTTTTACATGTAGAGTAGTCAATTACTTTTTTAATCAATTCATTATCATTTCTTCTCCATATTTGTTTTTTCTATTTTTGTATCTAAATGGCTTCTCAAAAAAGTATTGATCCTAGTGGACCTAGCAATATTGACCTAGCATTGACATGAATGACTAACAAATTCAACAAGATGCAAATCAAATAACGAGGGGATTGACATTGATAAGCAAGGTGAATAAGAGAAGGGCTCCTGACAAAAATATGGGCTTGAATAAAATTACAAAGATTAACCTATCAAGACTAACAGAAATAAATTTATTAGTTACACAGGGGTTGTGGCAAAGGCAAATGTGCCCATTACAATTAGGAGTTGGAACAATGTTAGTCCAGTAACAAAAAATTATATTTGGGAGCAAGTAGAGGTAAAATACTACACTCATAATCATTATAATTAATTATAATTACTTGACTACAAATCAAATTAATTTCTTGTTTTACAATCAGCGTTCACAATTGATACTAGTCGAATGAAATTTGTCATTCAACAAGATAGAAAGGCAATGCGTACATTTTGATATTTTGTTGGAACAAAATACATTAAAAAATTGGCTAGGAACATTAGTGCTGAAGTTCTTGAATTAATAAGGCCATAAGTCTCCCAAGAATAATAGAATGAATTTATTGCCCAACGTTTCGAAGGGCAATTCCAAGTAAGAACTATAATTTTTTATTATAAATATATATATTTTTATGATTCTGTTTTTAGCATAGGAATTGAGCAACCAAAAGAAAGAGTTACATGAGAAAGATGTATACCCTTACAAGAAAGGGTGCATAAGATATGAAGGAATTGAGCAGCAAATAGTATGTTAATATTTAGGCTATATAATTTTAGTTTATTTTATTGATATGTGCACTATTAATGTTCAACTTTATTTAAATGCGTAGATCGAGCGAGAGGGTTCAGGAGTAAGTTCTGTTTCATGTCATAAACTCTTCATAGAAGCCCAGACCAATAAAGAAGGAAATATTGTTAACGAACGAGTTCAGGAACTTGCTAGCAAATGTGTAAGTACATTATTTTAATATTGTCATTTTTTCTTATAATCAATTAATAAACTTAACTTTCTCACTATATGTTGCACAAGTTGAGATAGAGAAAAGTGGCCTACTTGATGATGGAGATGTCTTGGGCAAGACACTAGGTAATCCTGAACACTCCGGTCGGATTAGGGGTTATGGCTTCAATGTCATAAAAAAATAAATATTTGAGACATAAAAAAAGATGAAGTCAACAGACGAAGTGGGCACAAGGGTTGAGATTGCCACACTGAAAAAGGAGCTATTTAGGCAACAGGAATTAATTGATACCTTACTAAAGGACAAGGAGAGGCGGGAGAGGCAGTTTCATATTAGTCCTAACGGGAAAGGTAGTTTCAGTGTAATACAGCCCATTAAAAATCTCTCTGAGGTAAAATAGTACTTATTTATTTTACTTATATTTCACTATTTTTATTTTTCATAACATTAATACAGTATATTACTCATTAGTATAAGGCGAGAATATATGTGAGTTGTTAGCAAATAGCCCGAATCATCACATGGTTGCTATTGGTTGAGTGTTCAATATGCTTGGAGACACATTACATAATATGCCACTCCCTGCATCCTATGTACGAGTTGCTATTGATGTGCTTAAAGATCTCAACTATCCATTACCTATTCCCACTGAGGATGCAAGATTATAGGAGAGGCGATAGATAGCTTTGTTGGATGGCAAGCTATTGATGTTAAGATGTCAAGTCCAAAAAAAGCTAACAAAGATGCATAATCCAAGAAAAAGATTGTGCCCAATCTAGGCTTTCATCAAAAATTGTCTCGCATGTAGCTATGCCTGAATAAGACCCTTAATTGTCAAGCCAACATCAAAATTTACTTCAAGCATATGCAATGATTCATGGATCTAATCTTTCAATCTTGTAAATCTCATTTGAGGCAGGAATATACGATGCACCATGATATGATATGCCTTCGCTCAATATTATAGATGAAGTGTTGCAGCATGAGATAACCAGCCTCACTGTTCTTAGCTTTTATATACGGTAAATTATCTTACATATATGAATGTTTAGTATTTTAAATATATACTAATCCATTTGATATATTGATGGTAGGTGCTTGTATGAAAAATTTATTGTCCCTTTTGGCCTACAAATGAAGTTCATTTTTGTTAGTCCCCATGAGGTTGGCGCACATGCTTTAATTAAAAAGAACAAGATTTTAGATCAAGCCAAGCAATTAAGTGAAAATTTTAAAGCAAGGGCTCAAAAGGGGACATTATTCTTAATACCATATTGCCAAGGGTAATCTACTTCTTACTTATATTAATGGATTTGTTAAAATTAATTTAGTCAATTAGTTATAATTTTATAACACTTATTAATGCTATTAGGGACCATTGGATGTTGATTGCCACTGATCCATGCGGTAGCACTTCAAGGATATATTATTTCAATTCTCTTGGTGAAAAACCAGAGAATAGACAATTTTATTAGAGTTGATTAATACCTAAGCGCAAAAAAATAAGTATTTTATATATTTATTTGCTTATTTCTATATTGAAATTTTTTTTCTTTTTTTATTAGGGCAATTGTGTTGTATCGCACAAACACTGAACAAAAAATTCTAAGGTCATTTACAAATTTTGATATAGTCTACACTTGAAATATAATAAAGGTAATCAATATCATTTTTTAATTTAAATATTCATAATTTTTAATGCATTAATATGTACTCATTGTTCCTTTAATTTGTAGTACCCAAGACAAATGAAAAATAGCTTCGATTGTGGCTTTTGTATTATGAGATTTATGAAAGATACCATTATCCATAATGAGAGCGCAATTCCTATAATGGTACGCCAACAATTAATTATCAATTTATAATTGCTAATGAATTTAATTTATTAAAATAAATTTATTGTGGATAATTTATATTTT